GGTGGGGGGATTTGACGGCAAAGAACTTTGCTCAATCGCCGGAATCATCTTCCCGAGAACACCTTGAAACGCGACAGCAGCATCATCGACGCGGCCAGCAGCAGCAGCACCAACCACACACACACACACACATGCCCTGGCTGTTGCAGCAAAAAAAAATTAGTCCAATAACACGCACGCAAAGTATGACAGCACCACCCACCAGCAGCCCAAGCCTCACAAACGAACAAACAAACAAACACACGCACGCCGCCCCCATCGCCGCCAGAGCACACGCACCTGACTGTTGCGGCCGACGGTGGGCAGGCGCTCGAGCTTGTAGTTCACGTCGAGCCGTCCGAGCTCGAAGATGTACGGGAAAGACGGGCGCATGTCGCGGCGGACGGGATCCTCCTTGTAGTCCATGCACTCCCGGAACGAGAGGTAGCGGGGCTGCCTCGCGCCGTCGGTCTGGAAGAGGAGGCTCACCATGCGCACGCCGGCGTTCTGTTTTTGTTTTTATTTATTTATTTGTTGTAAATAGAGTTATCAGGCGTCAGGAGAGAAAGAAAAGGTGAGGTGGGGGTGGGGGCGAGAGGGCCAAGAGGAGAGAGAGACACACACAGAGAGAGACAGAGAGACACACAGAGAGAGAGAGAGAGGGGTTACAGGGTTACGAAAAGGAGGCGTACGGGGGGGGGGGGCAAGGACAACATCAGAACGCCAACATCACGAATAGCGGACACGCGGCAACGACGCGGAAATGAGCCTCAACACACGTGAGCATTGTCACACAGTTAAGCAAAAACACAATGCCATAACCTAAAAGAGACACAGCAGTTCAGCAAAAAAAAACATGATGATGATGGTCTTCATCTTCGTGAAGTTACGCTACATACCTTGAGGGCGGCTTGGTTCCTCTGGAAGACGGCTTCGCACTGAGCGATTACGTCGGCGACCGCACCTTCCTCGTGCGCCATCGACTCCGGAGACTTGACACGATACGATACCGTAGCACGGAAAAAAACACCGACACGCCGACGAACAAAAACGAAGCAAAAAAAAGTGAATGGACAACATTAGCGCACAGGTGGGATATAAAAACCGGGTCGAGAGAAACACGGGAGAAAAAGTCCCAAGTAAAGCGATTTATAGGCACGGGGCGACATACACGGTGGGAGGACGCGATTATGAGGGGAGATCGTACCCAACAGCAAAAGCTACAAGGGGAGCCAGCCGCTGTTCGCTGAACACAGGGATAGTCCACGGCAAGAGAGAAAAAGATGGGGCAGTTTCCACAGAGAGAAGCACCCTCAGCCGTGAGTGACAACATCTCCCAGAGATAAAGCGTCATCACAGCATCGTGCCGAGCCTTTACCAAGCAGCCTTCAGGCACGAAAAAAAATTTAAAGAACAACCCGAGCATCTTTCAACATCAGCACCAGCGATCTCGCATCAACAACAGCGATGACGACGTCGACAACAAGACTAAACCAACACAACAGACTACACAACCAACCACCGATGGCGACGACAGCAACAGCAACACCACCACCACCACCACCACCAAAACAATTAACACCAACAGAGACAGCAGCCACCCTCCTTCCGCCAGGGACAACACTAAACAATAAGCCAACCACCAATCGCCACCGCGGATGCACGCACGCACGCACGCACCTTCATGAGGGCCACGTGCAGGACGTTGACCGCCTCCCCGTCAGTGCCCTTGCCCGTGTCCGCGTCCTTCACGTCCTGGATGATCTTGGCCAGCTCCGCCACCTTCTCATCGGTCAGGCTCGCCATGTCCGGGAGCACGGAGAGGTGCCCGTAGCGGATCTGATTTTTTTCGTTTATATGTACGTCCGTTATGCGATCAATTTAATAGTTGTTTATATTTACAGAAAATTATAAACCATACAATCACAGAAGACTTCAGAAGCGGATCTTTTTTTTTCGTTCAGGAGGTCCGTTTCGTGATCATTTCTCTTTGTAGAAATATGTTCTAAAACATCACAGAATCGGGGGGTCGTGAACGGACGAAGAGAGTAAGGGAGGAGCGGGCGGCAGCGATGGAAAGAAAGCTGTCGCAGTCTTACTACCGGCCAGCAGCAGAACGCTTGCTCGCTGGACAACGCTAAAAAACAAACCGGATGATGGGGTTCCATGTAACATCCAATG